CAAAACATAGAATATGGATACATAATACATAATGTCTATAGAATACAGAGAAGCTTGATCAAAAACTTGGGAGCAATGAAAATTATCTTTAATTTTTAATCTACTAACTTATTGTAGGAATATTTCTTTTCTCTTGGTTTCTTTTCTTGTACAGTTATTAACAAATCTGGACAATTTGATAGATAATAAACAGATCTATCTATTGGAAACACAAAGTTAGCAAAACATAGAATATGGATACATAATACATAATGATAATACCTGTTTGGTGGAAAGCTCCATTGCTGAAATAGTAGTTGGTTCCTAAACAAGAAAAGAAATATGTAAAGTGTTTGGTCGATTAGAAAAGTCATATTCATTAATTAACACAAGGCACTGACACAAGTTTTCAGAGAGATAACTTCAGTGCCTACAAGAAGTAATATAATTGGGAAATAATACACATGAAAGAAACTGCATATATAAGTGTCAGATATGTGGAGCAGACAGTAAGATCATGTCAATACCATCCAGCTTACGTATCTGTAGTTGAGCAAGTTGGGTTTATCACTCGTTGCAATATAAGAGAGAAGATGGGACTGCACAGTCAGAGGGTCAGAAATGACGTGTTTTGGGCTTCCGTTAGGTAATTGGGGGAGGGTTCAAAGAAGTAGGGCTTTGTTCCACATTGGATGCTGCTAAAAAGCAGGGTAATTCTATGATTAGGTATCTTCATAAATCGTTTAGAAGGAGGGAATAACAGAGTAAAGCTAAAGCTGTGACTGGTATAGAAGTAGTAATCCCTCATGTTCGGAGAGGGAGATATTTGGTCATTTTTGTGGTTTGGACAATGTTCATGTTTTTGTCTATTTAGACATGATTATAGAATGGTCTTGTTTTTATCTTGATTCACCACAGTCCCAGAGTGGCCCTGTCTGATGCTGGTATTTTATGAAAATTATGTTCACTGGAGAACACTGTGGTTTAGCTGAGAGTGTCAAGCCAGCTCCTAACAACACCAATGAAAGCTGATAATATTAGGCCAGTTTTCAGCTGTCGAGGACTGCAAGAGTTCAGCCGGGATTGGATTACTTTATTATTATTAAAAAGACTGTTTAATGTACAAGGACCTACACTCAGGTCTTTGCCAGAGAATATAATCTCTTCAATATCTATCAACAGGTTAACATAAAGAAGTAATAACTAGGGCAGCAACGCTCACCAGTGCACTTCATTAAGTGTTCTATCTGGAGTTTATCATGAATATATCATAGACTTGCATAAATAAATCTTGTTGTTTGAATGTAGACCACCAAAAGGCTATACACCTGAACACATTAGCATGTATCCTCTAGATTCACTTTCATTGAACTCTGCTCCAGCTCATATCTTTCATCCAAGACAAACATATTGCTAAGACAGAGATTTCTGTGGGTCTCAGAGGGGTCCGATGAGAAAGAGGCGTGGGTGGGAAGAAGGATCTAAAAGGCCTCATTGTGTAAGTGACAGAAGCTGAGTCCTGACAAAAGTGTGAAGAGTGGACTCTGGAGCCGAACTACATGGACTCAAATTGTGACTAATGTTACAAACCCAGCCAGGAGTATGGTATTAGATAAGGTATTTAATATATAGACTCTTTGTATTTTGATATTTTCATTTGAAAAATGAGGGTGGTGGTACCTTCCTCATAGGGTTGGTGAGAAGATTAAATAAGTTAATACACTCATTTAATGTAAGACACTTTACAAACGTTCTTGGTGCATAGTGTTTATTCAAATCTCTCCTCCTTTTCTCCCTCTCCCTCTGTCTCTCTCTCAACTCTCTTTCTTTCTCTCCCATACACAAACACTCACACTAAATAACACCTCATTTCCTTGCTTTAAATTTTCTCTTTAGTGCTTGTCACTGGAGATATATAGATACACACACACACACACACACACACACACACACACACTTACACATTGCCTTGTGTGATAGAATTATGAGTAATTTTTATTTTCTGTTTTGTGTTTCTGTATTTCCGAAATTTCTACACCTAGCACACCTCCTGTAAGAAGTAAGTTACATTCCTTGAAATGCAGGAATGTGTGTATCAAGCGTGCACCATCCCTTACATTGTTTAGTAGG